GTATTCAGTGAAAATATCGCAATGCATCGCGATGCATCGCGATATTTCAAGTATCATGATGCATCGGGATAGAATCGCATCGTGGCATGTGAATTGTGATTCGAATCGAATCGTGACTTCTTTGCCAATACCCACCCCTAGCTTTTGGCGACAGTGGAGAGGATAAACTCCCTTTTAACAGGAAGAAACCTCCAGCAGAACCAGGCTCAGTGTGAGCCGCCATCTGCTGAGGCTGACTGGGGTTCAAGGAGACAGAAGCAGAGATACAGAAGGCAACTGTTAAAGGCGTCCAGGAAACACACAGCCAGGCAGACGAGCTCCGAGCCAGCTCCCATGTCAGAGCATGCAGAGAGTCACAGTCAGAGAAACAGGACTACACTGAAAAACAGGCCGATCCCCAACAAATATACACCTTATTATGTATAGAATTAAAATAAAAAAACGTTGTTTTTGCTGCTCTCTCCTCCTGATAAAGATAACATTTACTCAGAAAGAAAGTCTTGATAAGGATTTTGATTGGAGCAATTTTCATTCAAAAGAGATTAAAATAGGATGAGTGCTATAGGCAGGTCAGAGCTTCATATATTAAAGACTATAAGCTCTTTTAACTGTTCTTCAATACTACAAAGGAGTATTAGGGCCAGGCTAGAGATTTTTTTCTTCTACTTCAAGAATAAAGGCGTAACATTACGAGAACAAAGTCTTAAATTTAAGAAACTAAAGTCGCAAGAAGAATACTCATAAAATTACGAAAATAAAGTCGAAATATTAAGCGAATAAAGTCCAAAAAATAATGAGAAACAAGTTATATTTTATGACAACTCCCACAAGAAGCACTTTCTCCCCTAAAATGAGGAATGATGATCATCATCTGAAGTTATACTTTGGCTCTGGTTTGAAAAATAAGGAAATCTTTTAGCACCAAATTGGGCAGAATGTCATAGTTGGCTTCAGTTGCTGTTTGGTGGTGCCGTCATCTGCTGGTCAGACCTCGAAGCTTTCTTTCTGAAACGGGTTGGCGTTTGATGACTTCATTCTCATAATATTATTACTTTATTCTCGTAATATTATGACTTTATTCTCAAAATAGAAGAAAACAAATCACTAGCCTGGCCCTAATACTCTGTTGCATCAATACAAACACAGAAATCAGTAAAATATTTGCTATATTTAGATTCTTAAAGAAACATTTAACAGAAATGGATGCAGAAGTTCAACATGACCTGTGGTGGAATGCTCAGCTTGTCAGATGTTCTGTTCGTTTCCTCTATGCGACTTAAAAGAACTCTGGATCTCATTTATTAAGGATATCAAATAGTTGGCTACATGTTCAAAAAGATTCCTCTTTAATCATTGCTCTGGCTGAGCTACCAGATCTCTGAAGGCTGATGGTGGTTCTAATTATTATCTATTTTAGAGTAAATGAGGCTGGTGTGCTTTAAAATGTAGCATAGATCTTAATCTATCCATCCCCTGATGCACGACCGTGAAGCACGCGAGTTAAAAACAAACCTCTAGAAACTCATTGATCAGTTTTAATTACTACCTGTTCCAGTGGAAGCTCGATTCCACTGCAGAAGGAGAACTGAACCCTGTTAGTTCATCATGACACAAATCAAATCCAAGCAGTAAAGTCTTGGTTTGGCTTGAAAATTCACTAGTTACTGGCTGATTAATTTCCAGCACTGATTTAAGATAATAAAGGATTGAGACATTGAGATAAACGAGGAGTGAAGAAGATCAAACTGACTTGATGTCGACGACGTCGTAGAGGTTTCTGAGGAAGTCTGAGTCCAGATGGTTGTGCTCCCCAGTCAGTGTGTGGAAGTAAACAATCACATAATCCTTCACTGTGATGTGATCCATCACATGGATGAAGTACAACAAAGCCTGCAGAGAAAATGCAAACACTTTTTTTCCCCCCTTTTTTTCATAATGTTGCTTTTTTTATTCTTCTTGGGAATCAATCAATTTAATTTTCTTTTATGAATTTACATTCAGAGTTAAACAGTCAGCATAAACAAATCATAACTAAGTTATAGCTCTGCATTTATTGTTCAATGTCAAACACAATCAGAAACAATAAAAGATAAGGACACACAGAGATGCTAAATGTTTAAGTTACCTTTTCAAGGTCAATAAGGGTGACTGGGATGTTTCGCCCAACCACAACCATTACTGTCCTGCCGCACATATCCACACCTAGGAATGATAAGACAGCTCAATCAGAGTTCTGATTCATTCATTCAACAGATGAAAGACAGCAGATCAACACAGGAACACATTGCAGGCTATTGAGGGGAGAATTGGACCTCTGTCAGTTTGCGAGGCTTTTAAAGAAAAAAAGTGTTACAGTGAGGAAAATAAGTATCTGAAAACCTGCTATTTTGCAGGTTCTCCCCCTTAGAAATCATGGGGGAGTATGAAATTGTCATCTTAGGTGCCTGTCCACTGTGAGAGACATAATCTTAAAAAAAAAAAAAAAAATCAAGAAATCAGAATGTATGACTTTTTTAATTATTTATTTGTACAGCTGCAGATACTTTGGACTTGTCTTATGTAAATCTCAAGGACTCATACATCTTTAAAGTAAAGGGCAGAATATACTTCTGCAGCCGCACACATCAAATGTCGCTTGGGTCTGGCTGCGAACCAGTTATGCTGGTATGCTTCTGCACCATTGGTCTGGAAGTTCTAGGGACGCACAGCAGTTTCCCGCGAAAGCGCAAAGGAGAGCCTATTCGAGAACTTTGAGAACTTCGGCGGCGCTAGCGGGAGTGTTTATATTCCAAAACAACAATAGCGTGTCTGCAAGATATCACTCTCACGGAGATAGATCTAGAGTTGATAGACATCGAAGAGGAACATGTTCTGTTAATGGAGCTAACCTCCTCCATTAACCTTTTGTCCTAGTTGTCCATTGTAGTTGTTCCTCGGTTTCTAAAAATGGTGCGCCCCAGGCACCGAATCAACAACGACCACACTGACAGCCGAAAATGTATGCAAAGAGCCAATCATAGCTGCTTTTCGTCTGCGCACTTCCGTTTGAGGTCTGCGCGGGTTTGCGACCGTCTGACGCTAGTCAGGAATTTCTTTGAGAGACAGATTTGACGGTGGCAGAGGCTATGCTTCAGGAGCATAAATTGGTCTTAAAGTAATATAGAATAGGAGGACATAGGGACCTCTTTTTCATCATTCTGCTTCATTCTATCTCTATTCTCCCACTCTGCAGATTCTGTTAGCTCAATCTCTAACGTTCTGCTCTCTCAGCTTTTTCTCATAGCAGTTTCACCTCTTCTGTTCCTGTTTGGCTGTGACTCCATCCTGGAGAGAAATATCAGCTGTCCTGCTGCCATCAACACCTTTGTTTATAGATGTTGGAGATCTGCCTTTAACAGTTGCTTTTTGTATCTCTGCTTCTGTCTCCTTGAACCCCAGTTGGCCTCAGCAGATGGAGGTTCACACTGAGCCTGGTTCTGCTGGAGGTTTCTTCCTGTTTAAAGGGAGTTTTTCCTCTCCACTGTCGCTACAAGCATGCTTAGTGTGAGGGATTGCATTCGAGTCAATGAGTCGATGCAATCAACTGGTTTTCTTTAGATAGAAAACTTGGAATCAGTCTGGATGCATGATCTGGTGAACTGTAAAGTGCCTTGATATGACATGTTTTGTGATTTGGCGCTATAGAAAGTAACTGAAATCAATCAAAAAAGGTATTATTTAGCTGGACTGAAAGCAAAAAATGGCCTTTTGGATTGTAATGGTTGCACACTCTAGAACTCTTGTATTCTAGAAGTGAATCAAACCAAACTGGGCCTTAGAATCAACTTGTTTTCTTTAGATAGAAAACTTTGAATCAGTTTGGATGTATGATCTGGTGAACTGTAAAGTGCCTTAAGATGACATGTGTTGTAAATTGGTGCTATAGAAATAAACTGAATTGAGTTGAGGGTCCCTGAGATGGAACCTTGTGAAACGCCACATGTGGTCTCTGATATAAAGTTCCCTACAGACACAAAAAGTTCCTGTTCTACAAGTAGGATTTAAACCAGTCCAGTGCTGGACCAGAAACAGCAGCCCAGTTTTTCCGGGGCTCCAATAAAACTCTAAATTCAGGTAGAAAAAATGTATCAGTAGTTGCAAAATTTGTAGTTTGGTACATTTTGAGAAAGGAAACCCTGGAGAACTTGGTCATAAAAACCTTGCTGTCCACTGCAGATGACTGTTTAGGGTGAGGGTGTATAAATATCCAGGCTACCATAAAGAGAAGACTGCTTGAAGTTAATACGGAGGGCTCATTGCACACTTCAAGGATAGAAAATTCTGACAGTTAAAATCAAGATCTCCTCCATCAGAACGACCTGGAAGAGTTCATGATCCAAAGCATGTAATATCTCCTGTAAAACACTGTGGACAGTATCAATAGTAATAAAAGTTCTATCTACAGCTATATAATTTCACACATTACGTTTACACTGTAAAACAAAGGAAGTGGTTTCATAGATTTGTGGTTCTTTCGCATGTTTATGGTTGATCTTTGTTCAACCCACAAAATTAAAGCCGAAAGGCAGAACTTCACCTGCATGAGTCATTTTTTTTTCTCTTTTATTAGTTGAGGTAATCTTTGGATCCATAATTAGAAACACAGCTGTCTCTGTCAGAATATTTACAGTCCCATATATATTCTCCTATAGAGGCATGTGAGCGTGCTGCACCGGGGACATAAACAAATGTTGACTCTGGTTTACCTGTTTAAAGAGTACCTCCTGAATTCTCACACTTGAAGTTCCCTATCTCTCCAGGAAATACACGCAGGGACTGCTGTTAATAATGCTGCATGAACTTACTGCACTAGCTGCTAATTTTAGAAGCTGAAATAGCATGAAATAAAATCTGTCATCACCTGGTTTTAAAAGAATGGAACCTGTTTATCAGCTGAGGTGTTTAACAAAGATTACTTCTTCTCGCACCCTGACTGACTGCTAATTAAAAAAATGTCTGATTATTCCTGACAGAAAGGACAACATAAAATCGGTAAATTGATGGATTCTCTAACATTTAACAATATCGACTGTAGCAGAATAAAAGACCCTCTTTCCTTTTTAAAAACAGCAGGCTGGTGTTATATATTTTAAATGTAGAAGACATGTTTTAACTACTTAAGGGAGGAACAAATAGTTATTCATGTGTTGCAAAGTGTCTTCTAAACAGTTTTATTTGTGTCATTTCATAATATTTGTAATTTTTGGTGATACAAAAGCAGGTAGTGAGTTTTTTAAAATAATTTCCTTATTATATTTAGCACTGATATCTGTCCTTGGATAAAATAAAAAGTCTAGTTATGAGTTTCTTTATCATAAGATTTATAATAGAGTAAAACTGAGTGGCTCAGATGGTTACAAATACATGGAAATAGGACATTTCCCTGCTTCTACTTATTACCTATGGTAGTTTTCAGCAGAGAAAATCCTCAAGGCCATAAAAGGAAATATAATGTAAAGAGCAGAGAAACTATTCAGTCAGGAATCCTCTGCATTAAACAACAGTAGCCTCTAAATCGTGGAGAATCAGGCAGGTTCACCATCACACCTTAAACCTGGTTTGGGTTTTTGTTTTTTGATTGATTGATTGACTTTAATGATCCAACAGTGGAGGAATGTACTCGTTCAATCAGCTCAAATAGTCAAAAAGAGAAGAAGAATGTGCCAAAGGGAGAAGACGGTGCATGGGGTATATACAGTATAAACAGTGCGTCCACATATGACAGCTTTTTTTTTTAACTTTATGACACACCTGAAACTATTCTGAACAAAGTTTGTTTAAAACCAATTTGAATGCTTGCTTTCTGTTCTCAGGTTACTGAGTGACACGGTTTCTATTCTGACCGAACTCAACATAAGCCTGTCTGTCAGGTTTTAATGACAAGGAAACGAAACAAATTGCATAAAAACAACAACAAAACAGAATGACTAAGCACCAGGATCTAAATCACATTTACCTAAACTTAGCTTTCCAATCTGTCTTTAGAAGTTTACAATGAATTAGGGCAGCAAATAATGATGATTTTGCGAAGAGATTAAGCTGTCTAGAGTTTTTTTCGATTAATCGTTTTAATAATGGGATAGCCAAAGGTGGAGGAGTTCTGGATAGAGCATATTGACAGACATTTTTTTTTTAATCTTAAATATTTATATCTTTTTACTCCAGTTGACAATCGATTACTAAATTAGTTGACGTTTATTTCAGTAAACGGTTAATCTCAATTAATACTATAAATCAACTTTTTGGTAAAATGGTTTGCCAACATGGAAATGGGGACTTTCTTCTGTTACAGTAAGAACTGAACTAACTTTTACACTTTTATTCAGAAAGAAAAAACTAAATGTCAAAAGCATGATATAAGAAAATCCTCTAATCAAAGCCAAAACATGATGCCAGACTATACAACACTGCCTCCTGCTGGGGGAAACAACATCTGCACCTGATGTAAGATAGGATCTAAGTATACAAAGAGTTCTTCTGTTTAATATTTTGGGGTTACAAAAGTAATTGCACATATAATGTGCAATTACTATTTGATACCCTGTGCAATAACCTGTTTGTCTATATTTGACACCCAGTGCAATAACTATTAATATAAATATCCATATATAAATACCCATGGGCTGCTCAGTGGAGCAGTGGGTAGCACTGCTTTCTTGCAGCAAGAAGTTTCAGAGCTCGATTCCCGGCCCTGGGTCTATCTGCATGGAGTTTGCATGTTCTCCATGAGCTGTGTGAGTTTTCTCCGGGTACTCCGGCTTCCTCCCACAGTCAAAAAACATGACTGTTAGGTTAACTGTCTTCTCTAAATTCTCCTTAGGTGTGAATGTTTGCGGGAATGGTTGTTTGTCCTCTGTGTCTCTGTGTTGCCCTGCGATGGACTGGCGACCTGTCCAGGGTGGACCCCGCCTTTCGCTCGTACAGGTGGAGATAGGCACCAGCACCCCTAGCAACCCCACTTGGGATAAGCGTGACAGAAAATGGATGGATGGATAAATACCCATGTAAACACCCTGTGCAATAACCCTGTATAATATACTGTTTATACTGTGTATATCCCATGCACCTTTTTCTCCCTTTGGCACATTTTTCTCCTTTGACAATTTGAGCTGATGTAACGAGTAAAATTCTCCACTGTGAGATCAATATAGACAATCAATCAATATATATATACATTTATGTTCAGTATTTTTGGTAAGATATTAGAGGTAATTCAGTAAATATTTCCGTGGCAACTTAGGTCTTATTATATACACGTCCCATAATGATTAAACAATGCAAAGCTTTTGTAGAACCCACACTAACTTAGTTCTTCTTTATTTTAAAATCTAGGACCTGGACTTGTTCAATTGTTTATTTGGGGAGATGTTTAGGATTTTAGACCCACTTAAGAGCCCAGGAAACAATTCTAAATTTGAAACTATTTAATGTAAAACAATGTAAAAAAAAACAAAAAAACAAAAACTAAAACAGGTCAGAAAAACTAATGTGGAAGGTAATAAAATCAAAGTGGAGAGTAACGCACAACAAGCTGAATGGTTCTGGTTATGTTCGTGTGTTAAACTTAATCTTCCTACAGTGATCGATTATTAACCTTTAATCCAGATTTTTGTCATTCACATGAGGAAATATATTAATTTTATTATAATGATTTCACTTTTTCTACTACTTTTTTAAGACCCAAGAAATGATAGAAGCGAATTCTGTTTTTCAGGCTGCATAAGAATCTGGTTTTTAGATTTTATTTTTAAGGACATGGCTGCCATTTTATCTGCTGAGCTTTTGCTGTTAAAACATCAAACCTTAACATTTTACACTGATATCTTTAATGATGGAGTGATAAAGTTTTGCGTAACGATAAAGTAAGAAAAATAACACCTTATTTTCTTTTTGTTGTTTTTGTTTTTTTTTAATAAATAACCTTTTTTTGTCTACATCCTAGCCTGTTTGTGTGGATCGAAGTCTCTAGCCTGAACACAGCATCCCAACATGCCGCTGGCAGCATCAGTCTGTGCGTATGCGTTTCTCAGCGGGGATCAGAACTAATGGAGGGTAGACTGATCTAAATAAAGAGCAATCCTGGAGGGAAATGTGTTGGAAGCGGCAAAAAAATTTGAAAATGTGACTGAGGTTGATGTTCCAAGGAAAACCACTAAACATCCAGCCCGAGGTGCAAACATATGGTTTGGATCAAAGCTGCCGTTTTTCAAAATAACCAATTCCAAATTCCAGATATGGAGGATCAGACTGAACTATCCTGGAACAGAGAAGGAAAAAAAATACTGGTCTTCGTATGTGCCAAAAATCCGCAGTGAGACTCCAGCTTTTCCTTTGAAAATATGTAAAGAAAAATTATTTTCCTTCCTCCTCAATTCCAAGATTCTGTGATCGTCTCTTACATGGAATTCAAATAAAATAAAAATTGAGGTTTGTCGATGTTGGATGAGTTTGAGTTTGTGTGCACTGCAAAAATGAAAATCTAAGTATTTTTACTTAAAGCTACAGTGTGTAATTTTCAGCGACATCTAACGTCCAGACTGCAGACCGTAGCAACATGAACATCTCCCCCCCACCGCTTCTCCCCCCCAACAGTACAGCGAGCGTTACAGGACAAAATGTCTTCCACGACGTCCGCATCACCTACCTTCTCAAGTGATGAGGTTTGTTTACATAGATAATTCTACAGATAGTATTTCATTAGTCTGTGTAGGGTATAGATTTCATGTAGACTTAAACAACTTGCCGTAGTTACTTTCGAGCGTAATGGGCGATCTCGCAATCGCTAGCTTGTTGGCTCTGCGCTGCCGTAGCGCAAAGATGTCTGCCTCCATGGCTGCGAGACCCGCTCCTATGTAATTATAAATAACGAATTCTAAGGCAACGCAAATATTAAGGTTAAGAGGCTGAGCTCGTAGATGATGATAAATAACATAGTTATGTAGAATATATTACATTTCTGACTGTATATCCCTGTAATTATTACACACTGTAGCTTTAAATGAAGTGCATTTTGTCTTGAATTGAGGAGGTGAGTGAGACTTTGCTAATGGAACAAGACAATATACATTTAAAATAAGAAAAAAAAATTTGTCTTATTTTAAGAGCATATTATCTAAATATCTTATTTTACTGGTAAAAACACTCATTTCATTGGGAAATCATTTTATTTACCTTCTCAAATTATGGGTAAATACTCTTTTTTTTTTTAGATTGTTTTTGCACAAACTGCATTTAGTTCTAACTGTTTTATTGTTTTTTATTGTTTTAAAAGCATCTTTCATAGCTTAAATTGATTAACCCATCCACCTTCCAGAGGGAAATAAAAGCTACTTTTGAAAGTCATTTATCTCATTTGTCACTTTTTATTATTGTATTTGGTAGAAAGAAAAACATAAATTTGATTTTTAAGCCATATCACCTACCAGTAGAGCCTCTATTGCTTAAAATTTTAATACTTAACCCCAGAAAACAACATGTAGATCAATGAATATTTCAGTTAGGAATATTACCAACAGTGAGCTCCAGTGAGACCTACCCGTCTGATATAAGGCTTTCAGTGCAGCAATGTCTGACAGATCCTCGGCTCTGGCTCGACACAGCCAGCGGCTGTAGCTGCACAAATCAAAACACACAAAGAAAAATTGTAATTCGTTACGTTCAGTGACTAAGTAACCATCATTAAGCAACATCTGGTCAAACTGAAGCATGGAGGTTTCTTAGGAAGTGTCGACGGGTTAGGAGGGAATCAGAGATCTTAGTGCAGAAGATCATTTAATTTGGTGGTTATAAATTACACTGCAAAATCTGGAAGTCCATCGGTTCCTTTACAGGCCTTTCATCTTCACAAACCTGATTTTTCCCTCAGTGAAATAAACACAGATAATACGGCAAAACTTTAAATTATTTTCTTCTTCGTTTTTAATGCCATTTGATGCCAAATGCAAAAGAACACATGTTCTTCTGTGGTGTTTGTCACAACGCACTATTACCCAGGTCATCTTGAAAACATTGTTCTTTGAAATGTTGGCCAGATGTTCGATGGCAAATCCTCCCTCTTCAAGCTGTCAATCCAACGACGAACCCGTCCGTGGAGGATCATTAATCGGAGAGGTGAAATAACTTAATTTTTTTCACTCTTACCCGATGTGTCCCAAAATCCAACTGCCATGCACGTGGGCATTGCCAGTTTAACTACAGCTCTGGTGAATTTCAATGGTGAAATCTTTTTTGTTGATTGCAGATGTGTCTAGTAGTTTCCATTGATTTTGCTTGTAAAACGGGGAGAATGGCGCTCAGCTTACCGCACCGTGAGGTCACTGCCAGAAGATGTAAGGCGTGAGGTGTTATTATATTTGGGTAAAAATGGCCGCTCCCTGACTCAGTGATCGCAACATGATTAAATAATAAATTAATTAAATCACTGCAAACGTATTAGTTTTAAGTATAAATAATGATCCACTGATTATTCTTTGCTGACCTAAGTTCTCATTTAATTCTGAATTTGATTCAGTTTCATTCTTTTTATCTTCTTCTGAGTTTCCGGACTCCTTCTTCCAGAGAAGCTCCTGAATTTGGGCAAGTTCAAAGCCTCCTGGGAAATCTCACCGTTCAGATGAGAGTGAACTGATTTTCACCATCCATAATGCTAACCATGCTAATGTTATCAGCTTAAAATATCTGTCTTAGATAAATAACTCTGTTTCAGATTAAATGCTTTCTCTCACGCACAGTGTGACGTCGCGTCTCATGATAGAAATGATTAATGGCCGATCCTGGAAAGAAGGCAGGATTGATTATTATAAAAGCTTGGTATTGAAAGCTCTGAAGAGAAATCTGAATAAACCCTGAAGCTTGGAAATCGACTGCAGGTCTCTGATCTCTGCCTGTTAATGAACAGAAAGTATAAGGAAGTAATTTTCGGATACGTAACACCTGACCATGGCTGCTGATGCCACAGAGCCGGTATCGGTTGGAGGAATGACACAAAAGCAAACTTTCAGAAAGCTTTCGGTGGTTTGGACTCTTACTTCCTCTGGTGCTGTTTCTGCATGGCCACCTCTGACATCTGGCCCTGTAAGATCAGCTTTCTCTGCTTGTCCACGTCGGCCTCCATCCGGGCGAAGGCGTGGTTCCCCACCTGACCCAAATCCAGCTCCAGGCTCTCCTCTGCACAGTCGTCTGCACAGAAACAAAGAGATACTTTCTTTATCAGACCTGCGGCGAAACACTGAGATGTCCTATGGAACAAAGAAACACGCAAAACAGAAAAAAAGATTCCAGTTTGTATCAGTTTCCTGTTTTCAAACCAAAGCTGACTTCCATGTTCATGTCAACATATCTGCCTGTCCTTGTTGGTTATAATCCACGGATGGCGTATTGTGTGTGTTTGGGGGAGACGATCCAGCTGAACTTCAGCTGACTGCATCCAGCCACAGCTCTGCTGCTTCTCCAAACAACCACACTTATGGCCTGAATTTGATCAACACTGACAGAGCCATGCGGTGACTCACTAGGCCTGCGTTACCACAGCAACTGGGCTTCCTTGCAATCAGCAGGGCTTACTTTGGATCCACGCTCTAAAGCCACAGCTCCATGTTCTGAAGCTCCATGCCAGCAGACATCATCGCTGAGGTCGATCGAGGCTATAGGATCAACACGGAAAACGCTCTCGTCCACAAAAACAATGGCTCTGGCTTTCACCGTCCAGCTCTCAGAAACCTTAACGTTCAGAGAGCAGCCAGAGGCTTCGTTAGCTCCAGAGGAAAAGGAAAAAAACATCTGTATTCTCTCTTTTCACCCATTAATTGGATTTAATCTCCTTAAAAATGGAAGAAAACTACATTTCAATCAGAGCATGACTCATTATTTCCTTTCTGAAACTTACAAACCATCTTCTGCTCTCCCTTTAAATCAAAAGATGCACGCAGATTTAGATCTTAGATGTTTTGATCCAAATCTAAAAAACCTCAAAACCAGAACAACACATAGTGATGCACTTTTTCTAACTAAAAATAACAAGCAGATGGAGGTACGAGGAACATGCTCTCATGCAGAGGTATA